AGAGTGTGTATACACACAGAAGCAATATTTAATATATATTATATACAGTGTGTATGTATATGTGTGTGTGTGTGTGTGTGTGTATAGACACACACACACAAATACAAAAAAAACAAGTGTATACATACACGCACACACATATGCACATACCTATACGTGTGTGTGTATATGCACATACCTGTACATGTGTGCACATATATATATATATATATATATACATACACACATACATACACATACATACACAGACACACACAATTTATATATACACACGCAGACACGCACGTATAGGTAAGTGCATGTGTGTGTGTGTGTATACACTTGATTTTTTTTGTATTTGTATATACACTATAACTATATATATAGTTTAAAGTCTAAATTAAATGTTTCCATGGTAACATTTAATTTTTTTATAATATATATATATATAATTATATCAAATTACATACATTATATATATGTTAGGGATGTATTTGGTACATAGATATTTATGCACTGCCCTGCCTGCCATCTGAAACCTCCAAGGAAGGAATCCTACCTGATTTACACAACAAAGAGCAACTCAGAACAACTCACAAAGACACTTTCCTGGACCCAGAGAGAGAGATTTCCATCTCAAGCTTCTGTGTGCAAAAATTTAAGTTTATTTCCTACCTATGGGGACTTTTTGCCATCTTTAATTTTCCCTGAGCCTCATGAAGGGCCTTTGAGCCCAAAAGCTTGCAGAAAAAGATATTTTTTTTGTAATTTCCTAGTTGGTCTAATAAAAGGTATCATTTCTGAACCAAGAGTTCTAGATTTTTGCATTATATATATTAAACACACACACATAATTAAATGTTTACATGATACCAGATATATCTGTACCATGTAAACATTTAATTTTGACTATAAATTATATACATAGTTATAGTGTATATACAAATACAAAAAATCAAATGTATACATATACACACACACATACATATTCCTCCTCAACACCCCTCTGCCCTCGCATTGGTTCTCCTACTGAGGTGGATATATATAGTTAATTTTTTTGCTGCCAATACATTACATTCTTTAGCACACAGGTTATATCACCACTTGTGCCCAGTACACTTGAAGCTGAACCCCCAGGCTCACCCTGGTACCACCCCCCACAGACCCCCAGGAAAGAGCCAGCTGAGAAGGCAAAGCCCCAATTGTCAATACTGCTTCCCACCCACAGGCCAGATTCACCCGTGGCACCACCCAGGCTGGATCATATCAGGCCAGGCCTCTTGATTGACTATCTTGATCGGCTATCTGGTAGCTTCAGCAAGAAGGGCTTGACAGCAGCGAGGGGGAGGTTTTATATTGTACCACTTCTCCCCTGTGCCCAGCAGCAATTTTTCCCTGGCTGCCGCCACCACAGCTCATCACGGGCAGTCTGGGACCGGGGTAGGGGGGTCCCAGGCTGGTGTGCATGGGTCCTCCTGGTCCAGAGAGGGCACAGAGCAGGCTGGGCCAAGTCCAGGACTAGGGCTGTGTGCACTGGTCCATGCCAGTCTCCATGGGACCAGGGCTGGTGGTGGCACCATCTGGAAAGAGCTGCCACTACGGGGCTGCCTAGAAATGGAGTCCAGCCACAGAGCTGCACCAGCCCCACTGCATGCTTGGGGTGGTGGGATGCAACATGGGCTGGATGGCACCTGGACCAGGTGGGACCAAAGGACCCACTGCAGGCTGGATCATGTCTGGCCAGGCCTCTTGATCGTCTATCTGGTACCACATAAAACCAGCACAGCCTATTCCATGGTCAAGTTGTCTGCAACTAAACCGGTGCCCTGCACCTAGGCTAGCCTGGGTGAGGGGGGTGTATGGACACACAGCAGAACTAAAAGCCAGATCTGTCAAAGGGCAGATGAGCGTGAGCCAAGAGCCATCCATGTCTGGAAAGGAAATGGGCACCACCAGGTCACTGCCCAAAAAATCACCAATGATGTACAGCATCTAAGGTGCCTCAATGGTCACAGCAGCCTTGGGACTGACCTGACTTGACCAGCTCCCATTAAAGTCATTGCTCAGAGCCTGGGCTGCAAGCACTTCTCCCTGCAACTTGAAGACTCCCAATGCTTCACAGCCTATCTGTCCCCTTCTCTTCCAACCAGGCAAGCTGGCCCCACACAGGACAATACTTCACAAACCTCTCTCATTGCCCTGAGGTATGGCAGCTGTTGCTAGATCTCTCAATGCACAGTCAAACTCATCAGACAGGTTTTATGAAGCAAGGACGCCTGGCCTTAGGCAGTTTAGTGTTGTTTAACTCCAAGCGTGCAGTTGGTCCAATCAAAGTTCTCAGTCACCCACAAAAATCCTTGCCTCTTGCATAATTCCTGCCCTAACACAGCTGCAGCATTTCTCCCATGCCATGATTCTCAGCCAGGGTGCTGCAACACCTTGGGGTGCCTTGAGATCCTTTTCAAGGTTGCTGCATGGTGTTAGCATTGTTAGGTGAGCCAACCTGAACCAAGAAGCGCCAGGAGCTGGGAGTCTCCCTGCAACCAGCTCCTCACACCGACCACGTCCGTGATGCCCTGCACGAGGACCTTTCTGGAGCAGTTCCTGAAGGACACCATCTGAAACAAGTACACCGGTGACCTGAGGGCCAAACCCAACCAGGGCAAGGTCTTCGACATCACCTCAAAGCGCGACTCTAGGAACCACTTCATGCCCAGCGGGAACTTCACGCGCTTCGCGGACTAGCCCGCCTCTATTGCCTGCCTCTGAACAGGGCTGTCTGCTTCGGCCACCGGGACAAGAGGTGCTGATGGTGCGGCTATGCAGTAGAGACCCTCCCCCACGTGCTGTGCAGCTGCAGGCCACATGCCAGAACCTGGTAGCTCCGTCACAACGCTGTCTGGGACCGCCTGGTGAGAGCCATCCTGGCCGCAGTGGGGGAGATCTCTGTGAACCGCACCGTCCCAGACTGCGAGAGCCAGATGCGACCCGACATTATTATACAAACAAAGAGGTCAAGAATGTCATGATCATGGATGTAACCATCCCCTTCAAGAACCGGCGCCAAGCTGGGCTCGCAAGCGGGAGAAGTACGCCCTGCTGGCTGACATCCTGAGGGGCTGTGGCTATGACGTGATGGTCAACACACATATTGTAGGAACCCTCGGAGCCTGGGACCCCAGCAATGAGAGCGTCCTGCATGCCTGCCGCGTCTCCCGCCGCTACACCAAGCTGATGCGCTGCCTCATGGTGTCCAACACCATCCGCTGGTCCCATGACATCTACATGGAACACATCGCAGGCCACCGCCAGTACTCCGACCCTACCAGACGAACTGCCGCCAGACTGGACCCAGAGGGGACCGCCTGAACCCCCTCTCTGCACCAGATGGACCTTCACTTTGAGAGGATTCTTCAGCAATGGACAACCCCACTCCACCCAAAGAGGACCCCTGCGATGAGACTCTATGTGGACTGAGACACTTTCTTTGACCTACTTCCTCCACCATTGCAGACCATTGTATGGGTTTGTGTGTATCTATCTTCTTTCTCTCTCAGCGTTGTGAAAAAAAGCTTTACACTTATTGTACAGAGATTAATTAGGCCAGAAGAACAAACTTATCAACCCTGCTTTTCTTCTTAGATCTTTATGCATACTTTTAGGTATCTGGGGCTCAGGTCACAGACCACCTTAAAGATAAGGACCAAGACTTTGAATTTAATCCCATTTTTCTGGGCAGCCAGCACAGAGAGCAGAGGACAGGTTTCATTCAAGCTTATATTGCCACAGAAGTGTACTTTGCACTGTTCTGTACTAATTGCAATTCCCTAAGCCTTGAAGGCCTCCTGTTATCTTATTCCACCAGTCCTTTCTCAACTGACAGATAGTAAAGGCATGAATAATTGAGGCCAGGTCACCAATCTGCTAGCTGGGACAAAGTCTCCCCACCAACCAGAAATGAAAGAAAGAAAGAAAGCATTACTTGTGGATGCTGACGGGGGAAGAGCTTTACTCTGAAAAAACTCCTAAATTACAAACTGACCGGACGTAACTTCCACCGCAAGAGGCTGTGCAGCACTCCCCTTTGCTCCCCTTTGCTCATGTGAAAAGCACTAGTGAAATCAGGGGACGTATCCACCCAGCCAACATCAGCCCGCCCTCCGTGTTCAATGAAAACAATAAAGTTTTGCCAGCCCTCCTAACATTGGCACAGGACTGCCCAAGCATCAGTCTCCTGGTGCACACACAAAAGGCGCCTTCAGCTGCAAAGGGTTGAGCTGGGGAGAGGAGGGCTTCACCAACACACAAACGCAATGAGGGTGCCCCTGATTCAGCTACGCACTGATCCGCTGATGGCCACATGATGCCAGCCCCTTCCTTGGGGAGACCCCTTGGGTCACCCGCCTCCTTGGAAGAGGTGCTGCCGGGGCCACTGGCACTAGTTAGGGGGCAGCATGTGGGACCCCCCTCGCGCCACACGTGCCCCTCTGGGCAGGGCTGCCTGTGCCCCAGCAGGCAGGGCGAGTGACGGCGGAGGAAGAGGCAAGGGCAGAGCACCGGACAGCCCGCAGGCTACCCTACCCTT